TCCCTCTGTAATAATAGTGATAACAGTAAGGTCTAGACCTTACTTTGTAAAGTGTCCTGAGATGACTTTTGTTATGATTTTGGTGCTATACAAATAAAATTTGATTTGATTTGATTTGATGTGCCTGAACATCACTGGTTTGAACTTCCTAATATGAATAATTCCTTGTTTTCTTAGACTTCTATGGTAATAAAACAGAATTTCTTTTGTTTTTGGCCTGCTGGTCAAACAAAACACATTTCAGGGAAATAATGTACAGATTAAACTATATAACTTGCAGTCCTAATGACATTTGGAGTTTGGAATATAAATCATAAAAATACAAATTTCCTGTCCTCTTTATACTTTATCATCCACACATTGCCACTTTTGGCATTAAATCTGATGTCAGAGACCGCACCCCATTGAGTCTATATTCAACATGAATTTAAAATTAGTACTACAAATAGAAATTATCTGCATACTGTACATAAAAAGTTTATTCAGACTAAATAAATATCTATTTTTATTAGTATGGGATTGTTACTAAAATCTGTTTTGTAAGAATAGAGGAGATCATCAACATCAATGAATGCCACCTTTGTTCCACTGCTATTCCATACAGTAGCTGTCACTTCAGTAATCTAACACTAGATGGTGCTGTTTTCTGTGACAGATTCAGGAGTGGGGTCCATTTGATCTGGTGATCGGAGGAAGTCCCTGCAATGACCTCTCAATCGTCAATCCTGCGAGGAAAGGCCTCTATGGTAGATATCTGCCAGGAGATATGAATTATGTTTTTAATTCTTATTGTGTCATCACTCAAATGGTGTGGTGCTTTAACCTTGCATTAAAGTCTACTGAAAACCCCTCTCTTTTTAAATTCATTATTATGAGTTTAGGTGAACGCTTTTAGTTTCCCAGTATTATCTAAACTGCTGTTTCTTTTTTCTCTGTGGACACAATTTTATATTATACTGAGTATTGACTCTAGAAGATGAAAAATAGCTCTACCTGGGTTGACCACAGTGAGTCAGGTGGTTCTACTCCTAAATCCTAATGAGGGTGATATTCAGCCTGTACCGATATATTGACGCAGGTTATTAATGTTTTCTTAGGCTCTGATGTTGTTGTTCTTTTTGCTCCAGAAGGAACAGGGAGGTTGTTCTTTGAGTTTTACCGCCTGCTGAGTGAGGCCAAGCCCAAAGAAGGAGAGAACCGACCATTTTTCTGGATGTTTGAGAACGTGGTTGCCATGGGTGTCAATGACAAGAGGGACATCTCACGATTCCTAGAGGTGAGTCACAGTTCAGAGCATAAATTGCGGTAAATATCAAACGCATGTACTACAGACACCTATGAATGAAAAATAAACCGTTTTGTTTTTCATGTATACAAGAAGACATAGTTCAAGACAACCTGATTCAGTAATTCTTGATTAACTTTAAGCTTAATTTTAGACCTAACTTCTACAAACATTTATACATTTCAACAGCTGAATAAAAATTGCACATTGTAAAAGCAGTGTTGGAAACTAAGTAAATTTCCTCAAGTACTGTACAATTTTGAGGTATCTGTACTTTACTTGAGCATTTTTATTTTCTGCTACTTAATACTTTGACTTCACTACATTTTTAGAGGTAAATCTTGTACTTTTTACTGCACTATATTTATTTGATCATTTTAGTTACTAGTTACTTCTCAGATTAATTATCAGGCCCTCACCAGATTAACTATACAAAACACAATGTAATGATCTCACTTTATTGATCTCGGGGTGGGAAATTCAAAAAAACTGAGCTCCCCCTTTACTAGCTGCAGCATGAAATGTGATGTTCACAGTAGTGTGTCAATAATTATATTCCAATAATTTAATATATATATAACTGTGAAATGAGCTGTTCTGCATAATGAATACTTTTACTTTTGGTACTTTAAGCATTTTGTGATGCCAGTAGTTTTGTCCTTGTACTTAAGTAAAATTGTGAATTCAGAACTTTTACTTATAACAATACTTTTACACTGTGATATTGTTACTTATACTTACTTTGAGCACCTCTTCCACCACTGGGTAAGACACTGTTAGCGTTCCCTGTTGAGCCGCTGGCGGCATTTTGGTTTCCTGTGAGAAAGATGAGAACAAATAACCGGAAAGTGCCCGAGAATCATTTTAAGTACAATATGTTTATGAATGCCATGAGTTTATGAGTAATCATTGCATGTTTTTCTGCAGTGTAACCCTGTGATGATCGATGCTATTGAGGTCTCTGCTGCTCACCGTGCGCGATACTTCTGGGGAAACTTGCCAGGCATGAACAGGTAGGCAGACACCTCAGCTCTGAAGCACATTTGCCTTCCTGTTTGCTTAGAGAAATACAGACATGTCAACCCTTACATTAGTGGGGTTGTGTGAATTTTTTAGTAGCGGTGCAATTTGTCATCTTAGGATCCATTCAATGTCAGTGCGTTAAGGTTAAAATCTGCACTGCAATGCCCACAAAAGACCTATTTTATATCCTGTATCAGAACTACTGTGTATGTCAGCAGACATAAACAGTGTAAAGGACTAAGTGTTATGTCTCTGTTTCAGGCCTCTGTGTGCCTCTGGGATGGACAAGCTGGAACTGCAGGACTGTCTGGAGCATGGCAGGGTTGCAAAGGTTAGATAAGAATAAGTCAGTGATGAAAAATGTTTTTCACTCCTTGCAGTCCATTTGCTTTACTGGCTTCTTGGTTGCATTTATTTGACAATGTATTTGTGCTCTCATAGTTTGGGAAAGTGCGTACCATCACTACACGCTCCAACTCCATCAAACAGGGGAAAGACCAGCATTTTCCTGTCTTGATGAACGGGAAGGAGGACATACTGTGGTGCACTGAACTGGAGAGGTGAGCAGGAAACACACACAGGTGCAGTTACCTGAGGACAAAGACACTTCCTATTTTTAGCTGATAAATAGCAGACTGACGTTCAGCCTTTTCACAACCCCAAGTCAGAAAATGTTGGGACAATATGTAAAATCAAAATAAAAACTGAAAACAGTGTGGTGTAAAACATCTGTGTCCTGTATTACATTGAAAACAATGTGGCAGCACATGATTTGATGTGATACCTCATCAATCTTATTCTTTGTTCAAAATAAACACTCACTTCAATTCTGATGCCTGCAACACATTCCAAAAAAAGTTGAGACAGTAAAGCATTTACCATGGTGTGATTTTGCTGTTCCTTTTCACAACACTTAAAAGACATTTAGGGACTGAGGACACCAAGTGATTAAGTGTGTCAGGTGTCATTTTGTCCCATTCTTCCTGCAAACAAGTCTTAAGGTGTTCAACAGTCCTGGTTCGTTGTTGATGTAATTTGTGTTTCAAAATGCGCCACCTTCTTTATTGGGGACAGGTCAGGACTGCAGGCAGTTCAGACCAGCACTCACACCCTTTTCCTCCACTGCCAGGCCTTGGTACTGTGGCAGTATGAGGCTTTGCATTGTCTTGTTTAAATATGCATGTGCATCCCTGGAAAAGATGTTGTCTTGAAGGCAGCATATGTCACTCCAACATCTCTGTGTACTTTTCAACATTAATGGTGCCATCACAGAAATGTAAGTCACCTTTGCCAAGGGCGCTGAACCCCAGACCTTCGTTTTAGGCTTTTTTGATGCAGTGCCGTCTGAGGGATCAGAGAGCTCAGTCATCCAGCTGAGGCTTGTGCCCTTTACACACTGAAACCCCTCCAGATTCCTTGAATCTTTTAATCATGTTCTGTATCGTAGAGGGTGACATATCCAAATCCCTTCCTATCTTTCTTTGAGGAACATTGTTTTTAAACATTTCAATGATTTTCTCACACATATGTTGGCAAACTGGTGGTCCTCAGCCCATCTGTGCTCCTAAAGGTCTCGGCCTTTCCTGGATGCCACTTTGTACCAGATCATGATGCAGTCACCTGTTGACATCACCTGTTTCACATGGAATCATCATTTCAGTGTTTTACTTCATCACTGGCACTGAACTGCAACCGTCCCAACTTTTTTGGAATGTGTTGCAGCATCAGAATTGAAGTGAGTGTTTATTTTGAACAGAGAATAAACTTGATCCCCGTGACCCCGTTCAGGGACTAAGCGGTATAAAATGAATGAATGAATGAATAAACTTGATGAGGTATCACATCAAATCATGTGCTGCTGTGTTGTTTTCAATGTAACACAGGACACAGATGATTTACACGTCACTATTTTCAGTTTTAATCTAGGTTTTACATATCGTCTCAACTTTCTCTGATTTGGGGTTTTAGATCAAATAAGAATTGTTTATTTGGATGGAAAACAATTTAGACACAGGTGACATTTACATTAAAATCTTTAGTGTTCATTCTGCTTTAATATCATTAGAGATTTGACTTATGGCTGTTGTGTTTTTCCCCCTGCAGGATTTTCGGTTTTCCTGTCCACTACACAGATGTGTCCAACATGGGTCGCGGTGCCAGACAGAAACTCCTGGGCCGGTCCTGGAGTGTTCCTGTCATTAGGCATTTGTTTGCACCACTGAAAGACTACTTTGCCTGTGAATAGTAGCCTATCAACAGCAAACAGATGCCACTTATGAACATACACCAGCTTTTATATTGTGATACTGGCTCCAGGAAAAATCTGTCACACTCTGTAAAGAGTTGGAAATAATATCCACTCTGTTAGCCACTGTAGCAGGCAAAAAGCCAAAGTGAAAGTTGTTGTTTTTAGCCATTTCTGGGTTCTGGCGATAATGCACTGCAGCCTTAAACACATGTAACACATACTATCGCAAAGATACACAAAAGCAGCATAGGTGAGCACCTTGACTGTAGTTTATCACTGCTCATAGTGTCTGAAAGAGAGGCCGTGTCACTTGTCAGACATCTGATTGACAAAGGTGCAGCTAGTCCATTTCACTGATTGTATCATCTTTAACGGAGGTCATTAGTGCGCTTCACCTCTCTGGAGGTTCAGCTGAATTAAAAGGTAAATGACACCCGATCCTTTGTTTTGTCCATCAACACTAGGACTGTACAATGACTAGGCCTTTAAAGACATTGTTTTATGTTGACAACAATCAGTAGTTGTAGAAAACAGAAAACAGCACAGCACCAATGGCACAGCTCCTTAAGTGGCTCTGGATTAACCTGTTTTAACTAGTACAGAACATTTCACAGATTGTTCATCCCTCCATTTAGTTGAAACAGGTAGTTTGCTGATACAGATTGTTAATTTAAACAAAAACACTTCAAGCTCACTTGAACCAAAGTCATACGACGGATAGTTGAAGTCTTGCTCCGTTTAGGCTTCCACTAGCCTCTGGCAACAGTGTATTTTCTAAAATAAAAAAGCATTCTTTACAGTGGTCGTACTAAAATGCCAAAACATGAAACTATGGCTTCCTGTCCAAATTTTAAGATAATAAAATCTACAGTTCTGCTGAATTCTAAAAATTAAGCATCTCTTATTGTCATGTCAGAATTATTCAAAAGACCAACAAAAGATTTGCTCTGTAGGAAAATACACTGAGCACCAGAAGCTAGTGGAACAGAAGCTAACCTTGAAACAAGTCGGGATTTTGGTTAGATTTAGATTTTGTTTCATTTAGTTGTTTTTATATTTGTTTGTTGTAAATCAAACAAATGATTTCTCTTTTGTCTTTTGCATTGAAATTAGTATAATAGCGTAGTTAAAAAAGAAAAAGAATCTTTATTGAAGATTATATAAACATCATTTGCATAGATGGCATGAAAGTTTGAGGTATACTGTTGTAATGTCACAGTGACATTTCCCTGATAACTACATACAAAATACTTGAAACAAGCCAATGCAAAAAGAGATGCACCATAGAGAATGGGTTTTTCTTTTGTTTGCCATTCCAGACAGGTGAGAAATTAAGGGTGATGACTTTTATCCTAGTGTAGATGTTTATCTATTTTCTTAAATAACTGTTTTCGTTTACTGTAATAGCAGGGTGCCAGTGTCTCCCTGTGTGGGTGACCCTGGCTGAAAAAAGTTCTTCTGATTCCAGGAAAGTGTGTAACTGTGTGTAAATGTGGTTCTACAGCTGTTTTTGTTCCAGATAGAAAAAAAAATTATGGGAAACACTGGTGAACACAGACTATTTTTGTAGACTAGCACTGACTACTTTTTGTTTAAATGACTTTTTCAGTCAATTTTACAGCAGGACTGCAAAATCATCAGTGACGGTTGATACTTTAAATAGGTCTGTATGGTGCACATGCTTCAGTATACAGTATGTAAAACGGAATTGTGTTTAATCTCAAAGTGAGAATAAGTCTGAATGTGTAGGGTGTGGCATACATCAAGAGGCCACATAATAATTGCAGTTACTTGTCATACTGCATGCTTAAGCTTTAGGATGTTCACCACACAGAGCTATCTACTGGACAATTTAAAGGATAAGGCTGGTCATTTTCTATGTTAACATTATTTTCATTATTTATTCGTCTGTGCCATAGACCTCTACTGATGTTAAAAAACACATCAGGGAAATAAGTGCTGCACTTAGTGGCATAGCTCCTCAATATGAAACACAAGACCCTGATATTTGTTATCCAAAGAGCTTGTACATGGGGCCCTGACCCTTGCTTACTTCAGATGCTGTAATAAGTTATGGCCATTCAGGGCCTTTGGGGCATTTTTTAAAATATCAGGACCTGATGTTTTGTAATGAGGAAATGTCACCCAGTGGAGCAGTGTGTTTCCCTGATGCATTTTAAATTGTTAAATTGTGTGTTAAATTGAACAACAGTCGAGGTCTATGGCACAAATGAACAAGCTAATCCAGGACAATACAGACCTTCATGATTAGAGGCAAATCTCTGTATGGCGAGTGTTGAAAATACAGTTAATATAGAAAATGACCAGCCTTATTATTTAATTTGGTACTGATTCACTTGACATGACCAGAGGACAAAATATATATATATATATATATATACACATCTACAGTACATATATAATTTCTTACTGAACTGGAACAGTTTTACACAATGTTTTGCATACTGTATTGATAGAAAGGTTTACAAGTGTTTGAACAAGAGCTACATTATTTGTTTTAACACAAAATGCACAGGTATTTGTAATGATTTTTTCTTTCCTGTATAAAACGACCAGTTCATATAGAAATGCAAGATTTCTCTTGGGTGCTCAAAAGGTACCAGTGCCACCAGGTAACTTTTTTATTTTTCAAGTCTGATTTTAAAGTCATAAAAAAAGTAACTGTTTACATGCTTCATTAATATTGCTGAACCTGTTGAATGTTTTGTTTAGAAACAGTAAACTAAAAAAGTCAATATTTTTTCTTTTTGTAACTGCTGTTTTAAGTATTTTTATACTGAGTACACATATATTAACACGACACACTAGCTTAAAAATGTCATATTGTAGTACAATATAGAGCGTATTAATCAACAGCTTTTTGATATCTTCTCTTATTTAGATATAAAACATTTTTGTGTAGTTGTAGCATTAATGACATCTGATACACTTTGTACTTTTTTACTACAACCTTCTAATCTATCTTTTATCATAATCATCTGAGGGTTTATTGTTTAACTTTTTTGCGTTTTTATGACTCTCAAGTGCAAACACATTTAAAAAGAACTGTACTATTTTTATATTTCATTTGAACTGTTAGTTGAAAGGCATTGATATATTTTTTATGTTTTCTACTTACTATAGCAACCTATATATAATTCTTACTCAATAAAACATCTTGGCTACAAAATAACACTGATGTATAATTTGAAATGCTTGTCTGTGTGAGTATATCTTTGTGTTCGCCTGGGGTGAAAAGCCTAAGCATTGCAAGTAAGAATGATTTTCATTATTGATTAGTCCACTAATACATTTTCAGATTCCATTAATTGCTTTGCATACAAATTCATGAGCAATGACAAATTTCCCTAGTGTATTTACAAATTTTTAATATTTGCTTGCCACAGAAGTGAAGCATGATACAAGAAAGTTGTACTATCAGAGATTGTTTAGTTATCTTTATCATAATAACTGCATTGTCATCTGAACATATGTGAGAAAATGTAGGCCTATGTGGAGTATGGACTGCTGAGTTCTGTCCAGTAAGGTGCTAAGATTAAATGTAAAAAGTAGCAATTTTACAGACTGGCCTGAAAGAAAAGGGGAGCCCCTTGGGTAAGGATCAGTTTGTTCAATTGTTTTGGTGCTGTTAAGAATTTTGGTGGCTGCATCTTAAGGAGTAGTGGCAGGAGGAGTTGGCAGCGTGACAGATATGGAGGAAATCTCCTTCAGTGATATAAATATGTATTTCCAAAGAAGATGGAAAATCATCCAGATTTTTGACTGTTGGTTTTAGAAGATATCAAAGTTTGATTGATATTAAGGCCAAGGGTGGTGTTTGAAAATTGCTCTGCCCCAACCATCTTAATTTCTACTTTGTTTAGGAAAAAGTTTCTATATGAGTCAAAAACTGTAATTAAAAAGTTTTGATTAATCAGGACCTCTTGGCAGGATATAAATGTAAAATCTGAGCCATTGTATTAGAAATTGAAATTGATATGATGGTGTTGCCATGACATTAGATGGTCTCCACACACACACACACACACACTGCAGTGCAGTGGTCAGCCTTACAGTTTGTCATACAGTGTTGTTGTGGTCATTAAAAAGCTACACAAAGCAGAACAAGAGCTGGAGAGAACTTTTGCTACCTTGGTTGACTGAGGAATAAACAGACACTTCAAAATTAGATTGGAAGAATGGGCAAGGGGTTGTGAGCTGACTGCAACATGAGCTACTCTTTCTATTGTTATGGAGAGGAACAACAGATGTGGCATTAACAGGATTTTTAGAGTGATTTATTTATATCCTTGTCAAAAAACAGATCATGCAATGAAAGCAGGGTCAGCTGAGAGGCAAGGTTACAGTTTGTGTGAGACCTCCACAGGTTCAGATAGAATTTTAAGATGTAAGCCTACTAACAGAGTAAAACAAAACAATTTTGCAACAGATCTATCCATAAGTCTTGAATGTAATGGATGACTGTCCTCCAGTTACTAGCTAGCTGTATTTATGCCAGGGACTTTCTTTACATTTTAACTAGCCTCGATTTTTTTTATTAGTGTGTGAGCCTGTTATATGCCTATTAGTATTGTATGTGTGTCCTTTGTCATCAGTGTGTGTTAATTAAAGCGACGCATAACTTTAATGGTTCGTTTTTATAGGTTAAAGATACCAATAATTAAGCTATGACTGCAGCATTCTAATATTGTAATAACAACTGTATAACTGTTTAACTCAAATATTTTCCGTGCGGCACAAATCATTTTAGATAAAATGTCTGTTAGCTTTAGCGGCCAATGAATAATGGCGTTTGCTAGCCTACAGTTAGCCACAAAGCGGAAATCTTGCTAGCCATAGCCTATGTAGCCTGGCGTCTGAGATTCAAATTCTGATTGCTAATAAAGTATTCACATTGGCTGACATATAGTCAATTTTTGTTACTATTAGTGAATGCAGAGTATTAATTTCGTTGTATTTGCAAATGTTAGTTACACAAAGTTGTACTTCCAATCAACCTTTCAAAAATGTTAAACAGCGGAGCAGTAACTTAGCCGGGCCGGGACATAGGGGCGGGCTTGGGGGTTGGGCTTTTGGGCGAAGGAGGGCTTTCGACTCGCACTGATACGGGTGGTTTAAACATCCACATGGAACAAAACGGAGAGGGTGAGTAGAAAGTTGTGCTTTCTAAGTCGTATTTTGAACACAGTTGTCAGAGATTTAGGCTACTGATTTAGAGTAGTTTCTAGAAAACAAATTGTATTAACGGAGCTCAATTTGTACAATTAGCGACGTTTTGAATCTGCCATGCTCCAAATATACTTTAAGGCTAAAGCGCCTGCGTTGCGTAACCACGCCGGCTAATGTCTTGACTCGTTGATTGTTTCAGTTATTACTAGTTTTAGCTACTTTTGTTTCCAAAAAAAGCCACATAACTAAAACCTTAATATTTAGGACAAGCTAACTAGCTAGCGTCTAGCTGCTTTTTAAGCTTTAACATGGTTTTTGTAAACATTTATGTTGCAGTGAACTTTTTTTTTGTTTTTTACAAACTGCCTTTGAGTTATTGGCACTGCTAGGTTTGGAACGTTATACGCGTCATTTTGCGCATATCATAATATGAGCATTGTACATTGGTTTTCAAAGCTAGCACGTGTTTAGGGAATGAATTGTTATTGTGGTATTGTTTGGACCATTAGACCCTTGGCCTGGGATCCGCTGCCGTGCACAGCCTCTGCTGTAGAACTCATCTGTACCAATTCCACTGATTCTATTGGTCAGAATGGTACCCGTTCTAACCTGACTGGCGTTGAGACAGTACCATCTGGCAACACTGGTCTACAGAGTTGCGACAGCGAAGGGTTAAAAACTGTAGCGAAGCACGTGACTCTTGTAGCTTCGATTTGAATAGTTCCAAGCGGGCGATTTCAGACATGTATGCATTATGAAACGTAGATACCGGATAACAAGCTCACTCTCATTCTTTACACAAAAGTTGCTTGCCTGGCACATACGCCGTTTATTTTCTTACGGATTTGCTTTTCCGTTGTTGGACCTAATGCACATGCACCGTTAATTTTTGCTCTCGCTTGGCCCATGTAAAATGCTTTTTGGGCCTCGGGAGATTCTTTGTTGCAATACCGTCCGCGAGTGGACCAAATAGAGAAAGTGATACTTATTAAACTGTTGACAAGCCACCTCAAACTGCAGAACTGGTCAATTATCAGTTTTTGTATTATGGATTTTTATTTGTGGAGGTTTTATATTATAGGTTGTATATCCACTTTATTGGCACGTTGGCAGTGAAAGTCATTTACAATGGCTAAGCAAAAGAAGATTGAGCAACAGATCACATACACATTCTTCAAAAACAACACAAATTAATATCTGGACAGTAAGTAAACAAATTAATAAAAATGCACACACATAAACCAAAAGGGTTACAGGATATTATCTTTAGTGATAACAGACAGTTGCAGTGGTTGCAATCAGAAATTTGGTATTGTCATGCTTATTATTTTGCATTGGCACAACATAAAAAAGCAGAGTAAATTACCTGTTTGGGCAGGTGCTGTAGTGTGGTAGCGTGGACCTGCTGTGTTATATACACACTGACCAGAATGAATGATGAAAACTCTGGGAGAATGGTTTGCAGTTTATGAAAAGAATCTGAGTTGTGTTGCTAGTTATTTCTAACACTGTGACATCTGTGTGATCTGATCTTTCATCAGATTCGGTACAATTTTGCATCATAGTGGTATTATCAGATAAAAAAAACAGAAGAAACAAAGTGCTCATTAAACACATCACACATCTTTGACTTGTCTGTAATGACAATAGAATGAATCTTTAACAAGCTTTGCCAAAGATGCATACACACTTCTGCAACTTATTACACCTTTACAAATCTTCGGTTTTGCAAGATTTCACATTTACCATTTAAAATGTAGCTAACATTAAGGCATGAAACCTTATTATTAATAAAAGTCTCTCACCTGTCTTTGTATTGAGGATCCAGTAAAGTGGGAACAGAATAGAGGGGATCACCTTCAATGCTGCTCAGATTTGAGATCCAAATATCAGTTGTGAAGCTCATGGCTTCAACATCTAACTGCGCTGCTCACTGTGATGACACTGTTGTATAGTTCAGGGACAGCAGTCTCTGAAATGTTTTTTCTAGATGGCAGGTTGTACCTGGGCTCTAAATGCTTCAACAGGCTGCGAAATGTGACATTTTCCACTACCGACAGTAGTTGGTCATCGAGTTTAATGAAGTTGCGTGTAATCCCGTTAGCCTTTGGGTTGTCTGCTGGAAGTCTGTGCATTTCTGGAAAGCATGAGTAAAAGTCATTTTAGTCAAACCCGCAGCTGATGTTATTTGCTCACTAGGTTACAGACTGAAATTGCTGCGGGTTTATGGTAAGATGTAAGAATGGAATCTGCCTGGTGGTGTCTTCTTGTCTGTTGGCTAGCATGAACTCCTGGTACTCTTTCATGTGAAACCTCTGCACGTACTTGATTAAATTGATTGTATTGTACGACACAACTGTACTTCCATCCCTGGGTGGGTGGCGCATTGGGTTTATACACATTACAAGCAGCCATCTTGCTTTTTGGCATTTCCAGACTAAAATATCTCCAATCAAATGACATTTTGACTGTATACAGTATGACTGTATTCGGGATATCAAGATTTGGCTTGCCCAGGAGAATAAGACCGAATATATCTTTATCAGCTCTGATCCAGCTGCAGGTCTATCCAGTTTACGTTCCCCTGCCCCTTCACTCACAGGCATGGTAAAAAACCTGGGAGTGATATTTGATACCGGTTTTAATTTTGATAAGATTTGATTTGATTTGATTTATTTATTCTTTCAAGCATGTAAAGACAGTTGATATATCAACAAACATAATTTTACACATATCCAACAAATGCTAATCCAATATCAATTTGCTTATACCTAGTACATGCTTGAATGGAGTAGGAAGAAGTCAGACTTATCCAGTCCTACCCCATGACATCATCTTACCATCATTGGTTTGCAAGCAGTAAATGATTCACTTCTACACACACACATATACTAAAAAAAGAATATAACAGTGTTAACATTCTTACATCACACAAGTAATATACTAAAGAATTATTATAAAATGTACACGACACCCACAATGTTCCATGTAATTAATCATTGAGCCTGTTCTTGCATATATCTTGATTGACACATACCTTTATATTTATGTTTAAACTCATCAATTCTATTACTATTTTTTATGTCCGCACTTAAATTATTCCATAGTTTTACCCCACTTAT